TGTATTGTTGGCTATTGCTACAAATATACCCCAGCGACTTAACACTGCTTTTGTGCTCCAGGCTCACAATTCAGAAAGCACCGAATGTGCCGTGTTAGAACTTTGATAATCATCAGTACCATGGTTTATGCACATGCACACCGCAGTCGTTTTTTGCGCGGGTGTCTTCAATGTTTATCTGTGGTGTCTTCACAGATGAGTGGAATTCGTGACCTGATTCCAGGTTCAGTGATTGATGCCACAATGTTCAACCCTTGTGGATACTCCATGAATGGAATGAAAACGGATGTGAGGAGACATTTAAAGCTGGGTGTTTCTTTGTGAGGAAGTTGCTCTGTGTTCTGCAGCGTGATTGAGATGGGTTGTCTTTCTAGGGAACTTACTGGACGATTCACATCACCCCCGAACCGGAGTTCTCCTATGTCAGCTTTGAAACCAACCTCTCCCAGACGTCTTACGACGAGCTTATCCACAAAGTCGTGGATGTCTTCAAACCAGGGAAATTTGTGACCACGCTTTTCGTCAATCAGGTACATTGTTACGCAACTTATCAGTGTCTGCAATAATTAATAATTAGTAGTACATTAGTGCGGTCAAACGATTAATCGCGATTAATCACATCCAACATAAGTTGATGTTTACATGATATGTGTGTGTACGGTGTATATTTATGTATAAATACACAAACATGCATGTCTATATATTTAAAAAAAATGCCTACATGTAAATATATATTTATATTCAAATATAATTTATATTATATATATTAATATTTTATATATAAACAAAACATTTTAAATATGCGTGTGTGTATTTATATACATAATAAATATACACAGTTCACACATTATGTAAACAAAAACGTATATTTTGGATGCAATTAATCGTTCGACAGCACTAATTATTACTTGTGAATTGATTGCTCTGCATATTTACTAGTGCTCTCAAACGATTAATCGCATACAAAATAAAAGTTTTTGTTTGCATGTGTTCTATGCATATGTATACATGCAAATATTTTCAAAATATATACTGTATGTGTGTTTATTTACATGTCTATTTATATTCATATAATTGATATTATAAATAAATATATTTAATATATAAACATAACCTATTTTTCTGAAATATGTACATGCATGTGTGTGTATTTATATATAAATGATAAATATACACCGCACACATACACATTATGTAAACAAAAACTTTTATTTTGGATGCGATTAATTGCAAGTAATCGTTTTGACAGCACTAATAGTACTAATGCACATGTGACGCTGCAGCACAAAAGCAGTGTTAAGTCGCTGGGGGATATTTGTAGCAATAGCCAACAATACATTGTATGGGTCACAATTATACATTTCTCTTTTATGCCAAAAATCATTAGGATATTCAGTAAAGATCATGTGCCATGAAGATATTTTGTAAATTTCCTACCGTAAATATATCAAAACTTAATGTTTGATTAGTAATATGCATTGCTAAGAACTTCATTTGGACAACTTTAAAGATGATTTTCTCAATATTTAGATTCTTTTGCACCCTCAGATTCCAGATTTTCAAATAGTTGTATCTCAGCCAAATATTGTCCGATCCTAACAAACCATACACCAATGAAAGCTTATTTATTCAGCTTTCATATGTATAAATCTCAATTTAAAAAAATTGACCCATATGACTGGTTTTGTGGTGCAGGGTCACATATGTGGTATCAAATTGTTTTGATGTTCTAAAAATAACTGCAAAGTCGGTGTTTGGTTGTATTTATTGTTGCTGAAGCCTAGCTCTGATTGGCAGCTTCCACACTTCAGATGCATGATCTGAACTAGCCGTCAGTGGCTTCCAGTGTTGACATTGTGATTTGGAGCATTCACACTCATCCTTCTCGTTCCCAACAGAGCTCCAAATGTCGCAGCGTTTTCACTTCGGCTCAGAAGCTGGAGGGTTACCGCCTCCTGGACCGCCAGTCGGCGCACTTCAACGACTACAACTTCGTCTTCACCAGTTACGCCAAGAGCCGCCAGCAGAAGCAGAGCTGAACCTCCGAAATGAAGAAGCGTAAAAAGAAATCGTGCGGCTGGCGGCGTTTGTGCGTGGAGTCTTCCGGCTGTAGATCTTCCCCGAGTTTAACATTTATGCATACCTGTACCTGTGACGTAGATATCGTGCATGAAAGCTCTTCTCGTGTCTCTGTAGATATTCTAGCCCATTCTTGCTGTGATCTTGAAGTGCATGTAGAGCTCTTGAACGTGGCGGTGGTGTGTGTGAGGCATGTCACGCCATCATCCCAGTACATGCAATGCTCCCTTCCCTTCCTGCAAGTGTCCCCTCGCATCCCCCACAGACAGGGTTTCCGACCTCACTAGACAAGGACCCTGACACGCTCAGATCTGTCTCCTCTCCCGACCAATCCAAAAGCAACGTCTTTTTATCGGTTTGCGAAAAAGGTTTTTTTTTGGGCGTTGGTTATTTAAATCGCAACTCATTTTCAATGTGTGTGTGTTCAGCTCAACTGTGTATAGCTAGCTAACTTTTCTGTGACTGTGAAGATATCCTGAAGACAAACCTAAAGTATTCCTCGTCCGTCGTCTTTTCTTTAACCCTGCAGACGGCTGTCTTTATCCGGTGTGCTAGAGAAGTGAATGCGAGTAGCTTAACCGTCACCTTCAATGTCGAGAGCCTGCTCTGATTTTAGAGAACGTTTTGGAAAACGCATCTCTCGTTTGAGTAATACGCTCGTTAGATGGTACCAGAGAAGTGAATGTTTCAAAAGACGAGTTACTTAATTGTTGCCTTGTGTGTTAACAACATATAATCTGCAATATATAGCCATTACGGTGAAAGTTAACTGTTGTCTTCCTTTCCTCAAATAAAATGGCCTGTATTAAAAAAAAAAAAACATTAGTTAGTTGAAAGGTGACGATGTGTTATATAGAAGAATGGATTTTTCTGAATAATGTAGCAAGTGTAGAAGAAGCCATTACGTGTGTGTGTGAGAGAGAGAGGGAATGGTGTTTGCCTTCCGTCATTGTGAAGGACCTTGGGGCTGTCCAGCGCAGAGCCTGCTTTGAATTGAAACCGTTGGACAGACGCTTTGCTTTCGTGTGCCGATCGCACAGCAAAGCATTTTTCTTTTTCTAAACCAAACGAGTTCTCTGTCTTTTTCTCTACAGTTTCCACACAATAGGCACGCACTGATCTGAGCATGTCAGGGCTGACCCGGATCATTCCACACCCCACACCTGCATAAAGTGCAGTTTTAATTATATATTTTTTTGCAGTAGATTTGTACACCTCTCCAGATCATGCCCTCACATGTGCTCTTGCATGCGACTAGCGGTTCTCCGCTTCAGCCCTTTGTAACATTACCTTGTTTCATTTCTGATCGTACGATGTAACAGACTTTGCTCAATTATTTTTCATCCACCCTCGTGCTGATGGAGATCCCGAGTTATGAGGAGGATGATGTTTCTGTTATGTCTCTTTAAATGCGAAAAAACAAAGCAATTCAGTTTGATTTAACAGACACTATAGGTGTCTGATGTGGACCACTGCTGGGAGAAATAACATGAGCATGATCGCTTATCGCACCTAGTACTTTTTCAGTGAAGGGGTGGTAGTTTCAAACATTCTTCTGGTCTTTATATGTGGGATTTATACATTATACATGAGTGGAGGGGGGAGACATTGATGTTGCGGACCAAGGATATATATAAACACATTTTTCTAACCCTGTTCTGAGCTGGGGAGTGACCTTTTCAGATGATTTGGACCTGTTTTCCTCTTTCTATTAGTTCTTGCTAGCCTGTGTTGTTGGTTGGTAAGACAACTCTTTAGAAAGGATTCTGTCGTGGGACTTTCACAGGAAGTTGGGAAGGAAGGGGAAACTTTGCTGTTCCAATTCTCTTGCCATTTCCTTGGTTGGTCAAGATGTGCTAAATATATCTGTACTAAGAGCTTGATGCTTTCAATAAAGTTAATAACCATCAGCTGAGTACTTTTGATTTTATTTTATTAAGTTTTTGTGCATTCCCTAGAATGCGCTGCTGTATACCAATATGATATTTGGCTGGGTTAAGTGGATTCAGATTGAAAATGTAATGTTTTATTTTATGGTACATTTTAAGTTTAAAAATGTTATCAACTATTTATTTAAGACATTTATAAGACCCACATTATGAAAGGTAAAATAAGGTAACTTGTGTAAATTGAAAGTCGTAATTCACCCTTCCTTAAATTCATAAAGGCCTTAAAAAGTCTTAAGCCTGGTTTCACAGACGGTGCTTGGACTAAGCCAGGATTAGGCCATTCAAGTAATTTTTATAAACATGACTTGGAAAAAAGCATTACTTGTGTGCATCTTGAGACAAAACAAGGGCACTGATATATTTTAAGAGCAATC